GACTGCGGACGAAAGGTGTAGAAACTTCATAAATAAAAATAAGGGACATTCGTAATCTGAAGCTGATAAATATTTTAAACCATACAGAATTAACAATTTTCTTCCAAAAGTTTAAAAAATATATTTATTTATCTCAATTTATGACTAATAGGTAACAAAAGTTGATGAGAGTTCAGTATAAGCCAAAGAAGTTTATTTTCTGGCTTCTCTGTGTCGAAGGAATCCGGACAAAGGATTTAAGCAAAAATTAATATTGCAGTTCTACCATGACAGTGGAGGAGCAAGGATTAAGCGATTCATATATTTCCATTGCCAGGTGAAGGGGTTTAAGTCTCGATAGTTTGGTAAATGAGAAATATTTTAAAGGAAGTCGTCATAAATCAGACTGATTTTTCCTCAAAGAAGGTGCCAAATTTGGTTAAGAAACTAAGATTTGAACTCAAGGTTTAGGTGTTCATCTTTCTGAATTTTAGAATAAACCTAACCTAACCTAACCTAACTTAACCTAACCTAACTTAACATAACCTAACCTAACTTAACCTAATCTAACCTAACTTAACATAACCTAACTTAACCTAACATAACCCAACCTAACCTCATCTAACCTAACCTAACCTAACTCTTGGCTATGCCGACCGTCTCATTTCAGAGCCGCATTACTTGATTGTTTAATTAACTATCACGCGCTGCTTTTTGTAATGTGTGTTGTTCTCTGACGCACAAGGCGACTACTGCGAGGATGAAACAAATGAGTGCATGGCGCGTCCTTGCCTGAACGGAGGAACCTGCACCGACGCATTCAATGACTTTTCTTGTGAGTGTCCGCCTGGATACAATGGCAAGCGCTGCGAGTGGGACGTTGGTAAGTTTTCTTTTATTTTGTCCCAAGCTTAAATATCTTACAATGTCAAAGGTCAAATAGCGACGCCGAGAGCTGTAACTCCTCGGTTACTTTGTCGTAGTCTTCACCAAGCGACGTAGCACGCGATTTGGTTGAAATATTGAAATATACATGTTCCTTGTGAGTTAATGACTGTGAATGCAATAAAAAGGATGTCCGCTTAGTCTTGACTCTCGAAATGCTGTATTTATTTCAGTATTAAAATCTGAGTTAGTAATTTGTTGTATACTTTAATTTTTATATTCATTACACTTTTCTTAGAAACGTTTATTCTGCAAAAATTGAATTTGGGGATCTAACTTTTGGTGTGATAAAAATTCTGAATCTATAAAAGACTTTGATTTTTTTTAACCAGCTAAGCAAAGAAGGAGTCTGATCTGTAGAGTTAATTAAATTAATATGCCTAACTCGAACGAGAAAAATATAAGTTTATCTGTTCTCAATTTTATTCGTTCATAGATACAGATGGATGAAAAAATGTTAATAAGTGTTCAGCAGAGTTGTTAACCTAACCTAACTTAACTTAACCTAACTTAACATAACCTAACTTAACCTAACCTAACTTAACATAACATAACCTAACATAACTTAACCTAATCTAACTTAACATAACCTAACTTAACATAACATAACCTAACCTAACTTAACCTAACTTAACCTAACCTAACGTAACTTAACATAACCTAACCTAACTTAACATAACCTAACTTAACATAACATAACATAACATAACATAACCTAACTTAACATAACATAACATAACATAACATAACCTAACTTAACATAACATAACCTAACCTAACCTAACTTTCAATTATTGACAATTTGAAACATCATTTTTTACAGGTGAGACTATGAAGAGTTTTAAGATATTGTAAATGTCTGGATCTGTTTATTTGTTAAGTTTTTGTACCAGTGAATATTGGAGTAACTGAAGAAAAACTTAAATTAAATGACTATTTTTGTCTTCTTTGGAAGGCATTTTAAAATGACGTGAAAACTATTCGTCAGATTAAAATACGGACTACAAGTGGTGAGCAGAGGAACAAATAATTTTTGTTGCTAACGGCATTTTAATATTTCAGATCTTTGTCAATCACAGCCGTGCAAAAATAACGGAGAATGCATCGACTTGATCGATCACACCGAGTGCAGATGCCTTCGGGGTTATCGTGGATCATTCTGTGAAATGAAAGGTAAAACATTTAGAGTTTGAGCGCGAGATTTCGACTTTTGTTAATTTTAAGGGACGAATATTACTTATAAATGTTACGTGTTTTTAATTCTGATGTGACGTGGTGATAATTTTGTGTTCAGTGCAATGCCCTGGTGAATTGTTGGAAACTGATAGGGGAAGATTCTTTTGGGAGCCAGTGGCTCACGGAATGGTGTCCAGATTGCCTTGCCCCTATGGAATAAGTACCAACTACACCGAGTACCTGGAAAAGCTGGCCCATGATTACGCACTGGGATTGGGTCAACACCCGTTCCATAACCCGACCGCGCAGACATCACCGGAAGCGAAGAACGGAAATGCACATCGTGAATTGATTTCAGATGTGAGTCATGGAAACGGTAGACTAACTTAAGAATAAGATAGTATAATTCCGTCATATTGTGAATATTATATCAATTATTTGTTTTAATCCGTCTAATCACAATATAATTTAAAATCTCTTATAATTAAGATAATAAAATGTCATTCATGTTCCATATCGATTGATCGATTTACATTTCGATCAATCGATATGGAACATGAATGACATTTTATTATCTTAATTATAAGAAATTTTAAATTATAAGAGATTTTAAATTATATTGTGATCAGACGGATTAAAACAAATAATTGATATAACTTAAGAATATTAATTTCTAGTATCTCTTCATATCCAATTCTCTGATATTATTACATTAACCTTAAAAGAACTGAAAGCGACATGTTTGTTCCATGACGTGTAACCACGAAAGGCTGAATGGGTTAACACTGTCATGTTACGTTATGACTTCATTAAAAAATGTTATGTGCTTGTAAAATTAAGAAACTTTTGTGTCATATGTGATTTTATGGGGTGTGTTCGCTTATGAAAATCCCTCTGAATTTTTGTAAAAAATTTTCGAAATTTTTATAGTTCTCTCCAAGCAGCCATTCCTTCTTTGTTCTACCACGAAATGATAAAAGAAATTTATAAAAATGCTGTATAAAAGCGTTAACTTATCTCGTGGAACAGTAATTAGAGATACGTCGATCCTTGTTGCGTTCTGCACAATAGTCGCAAGATTTCTATCGAGGAACTCGCGAATGGAGAAACCGTGGAATGTCGTAATTAATATTTTTTACAGTCCGTGAGCAATGGACGTCTAATTGTTTGTTTGCGTCTATCAGTTAAGATATCCAGGCCTGAGTGCAAACACAGAATCTTCAAGGCTCTTGAAGAACTTGAACAAGGGGTACGAAAGCCACGTGAAACGTTTACTGATGAGTCTGAAGAGCGACCCAGTGAAACTGCTCGCTTATCTGAAAGACACGGAGTACAACCAAGTTCATGAAATCGCTGTGAGCACGCAACAGAGACTGAGGGAACTGAAACTTCGCAGCGACGAAGACGGCCGGCCCTTTGCAGTGAGAAGCTGCATTCAACAGAGGGACGGCTCCGTGATGTGGAATTACATGGACGACAACATCTGTCGAGATGAGGTCAGTGTGAGTTTCAGTTTAAGAACTTTGTAGTACGAGTATAATTAAATTCTAGGTTATGTACGCAGAATTTTGAGGTTA